ACATGGGGGCAGCGGGGAGAGATGGGGCCGGCAGACACGGGACGGGGTGCGGGAGGGGGCACATGGGGGCAGCAGGCGGGTCCCAGCCGCCCCCCCCCCCAGCCCCTTTCAGGGTGTAAACGGGCAGAGTTCGCGGCGCACGGAAAGCGAAAGCGGCTCGGAGCCTGGCCGGGGGGGCTGGGAGGAGGCTGAGCCGCCCGGATCCCGCAGCCCCCGGGATCCCGAACCGGGCAATGCCCCCGGGGGGGGCCGATCCGGCCGGGCAGCCCCTAGGGCAATTCATGGGGCGCCCCCACTTTACCCCCCCGGGATTCCCCCTGCCCCCCCCGCGGATCCCTCCCCCGGCCCCACTTACCCCCGTGCGGACCTCCCCGTCCGCCCAGCCGGGCCCCCCGCAGCCCGCCATGGTGCAGCGACCCCGGGAGCGAAGCACCAGCGCCCGGGACAGCTCCGGGACCAGCCGCGCGCCCCGCCCTCCCTGCAGCGCCGCCCAGCGCCGCCAGGGGGCGTCCGGCACCCAGCGCCGCTGGGAACCTGTCCCGCCCCGCTCTGCCTGGCAACAGGTGATGCCCCGGCCTGGGGGGGAGGGGCTGGGAGTCCCCCTCCCTCCCCCCGGCGTCCCAAGCCGCTTCCCCCATCGATCACCTGCTGGGAGAGGGGCGGGGCTGGGCCCTGACACCGGGTGAGGGGCGGGGGGGGCTCCCTGCCCCGGGCCATACAGGAACCGCCTGGGCGGCTGCATTATGGGGGGCTGGGCCAGGGGCCTGGCAGCTGTGGGGACCCCTATAACCCTGCGCACCCCCTACATCTCACTGGCTGCAGCAGGGGGGTCCAGGCAGGGGGGTGCAGAGCGAGCCCACCCCACCTCACCCCATAGCAGTGACTCCTGCGGCACCTGTGCCATCCATGGGGCTGGCTGGGCTCGGCTCTGGGCCCCGGGACCTGGCCCTTGGCCTCCGGGGTCTCAGCGCCACTCAGGGTCTGTCCACACGGGAATAAAAGCCCCTGGCGCAGGCAGGCAGCCGGGTCAGTTGAGTCGGGCTCGTGGGGCTCGGGCTGCCGACTACACGCTGCAGTGTGGATGATCCGGCTCCCCTGGAGGCCAGGGCCTGACATCTCAGGGAGGGCCCCAGAGCCGGGTTCCAGCCCCGGCCCCAACATCCACACACGATTTCTTGTCCCGCCAGCCTGAGTCAGCCGGCCCGGCCCTGAGACTTGGGGCCAGGGGCCTTTAGTGCAGTGTGGACGCCCCCTCGGTCACTGAGACCTGGCCAGGCCGTGCCCCCCAGCCGCCGGCAGACAGGCCCAGGCAGGCGTGTTACACCGACCAGTGTCCAACCAGCCTCCTGAAATCTCACTGACGGGGGTCGTGTAGGGCCCGAGTAGTGTCTCTGCCCCCGTCAGAGCAGCCGGGCCAAACCCGAGTGGTGCTGTGCCCCCCTGTGCCCCAGGTTGCAACGCCCGGAGCGGGGAGCCGAGCCCAGCCTCTCCCACGGGGCAGGAGCCGCTTCAGCCGGGACGGGGGGATGGGGGTTGAAGTGGGACAGTCCAGCGAATCCCAGGACCCCTGGGGGCTCTGCACTAGCCTGGGGCTGAGGAGGCCTGGGTCCAGCGCCTGGTGCTGCAGGTCGCTGTGTGTGTGCCGCAGGGCCCCCAGCTGTAACCCGGGCCCATAACCCGGGGGGGGGGCAGCAGGGGTGTGACCATAATTACACAACTGCCCATGAGGTGCCCAGAGGCCACGGTGTGAGTCCCATAGCTACACAGCCCTGCCTAGACCCCATGGCCTGGGGTCACTCTGACCCCAAAGCTGCCCTGGGCTGGCTGGGAGCAGAATCCCCCCGGACACACGTGATCTTCAATAACCCCCCAAACTGTAGAGGCTCTGCACTTGAATCACAAACCTGGGGGGGGGGGGGGGAAGGGGGAGCCAGGGGGGGGGGGATTTATTATTTCATGCAACAGTAATTCACACCCCACCTCTGCCCCCGGCGTGGGAATTCCCTGCTCCCCCACCCTGTCAGCTGGGGAGACGCCCCCCGCCCAGGGGGTCTGGGGGGGGCGCAGAGCCCCCAGCCCGGCTGTAATTGTACCGAGCCAGGGGGCGACACTTGCTATGGGGCAAGAGGGGGCATCTCCCCACCCCCTTATTCATAGGTCAACAGGCTCCATTATACCCCTCCCCCGCTCAGCCGGGTCCGAGCTCATCCCATGTAACGCGCTATGGCCCCCCCGGGGCGGGCTCTGAGTTAATCCGGTTTCACTTTCGCTTTCGGGAAGCCGCCTCCTTTCCCAGAAGCGGATCGGGGCAGCCGGGGACTTTCCAGGGCGGGCGGCGAAGCCGGTGCCGGACCCGCCTCTCTCCGCCTCCGCCCCCCACGTTCGCGGCCCCTCGCTCCTCGCCCGGGCCGGGGAGTTGCGGGCGGCGGGTTTCCACGGGGCGGCTGCGGAGCAGGGCCAGGAATTGCCCCCGGCGCCTGGGATCCGCTAGCCCCGGAGGAGCCGCATCCAGACCCCGCCGGGGAAAGGGGGGAGACCCCAAGCAGAGTGGAACTGGATTGGCACGGACAGGTTCTGCGGTCACTCCGGCGCGGGCTCCGGGCGCACTGACCGAGCGGCCGCCAGAGGGCGCCCCCGGGGACCGGCCGCAGCCGGGACTAGGAGACTTGGACACTCGCGGTTGAGAACGGCAGGGACCAGCCGCAGCTGGGACTAGGAGATTTAGACACTCGCTGCTGAGAGCGACAGGGACCGGCCGCAGCCGGGACTAGGAGATTTAGACACTCGCTGCTGAGAGTGGCAGGGACCGGCCGCAGCCTGGGCTAGGAGATTTAGACACTCGTTGCTGAGCGCGGGCAGGGACCGGCCCGGGGATGAAGCTGGCCATGGCCTGGGTCTCCCTGCCCCTGGCGGTGCTGCTGGATTTCCTCACCCTGCGCCTGGCCCTGATGCTCTGCCCCCTGCTGCAGGCCTGGGACCCCCTGGCGCTGGCCTGGGGGGTGGCGCTGGCGCGGTGGGCCCTGCTGAGCCTGAGCGCCCAGGCTGCCCGCGGCAGGGGGCAGGGGCTGCCCGGGGGGCTGCAGGACGCGCTGCTGCCCCTGGCCGCCCTGCTCAGCCTGCTGCTGCCCGGCTACGTGACCCTGCAGGCGCTGGCCCAGCCCCGGGCGCCCCCCTCGGAGCTGCTGCACGGCTGGGGGCGAGGGGACGTCTTCGGCCTGACCTACGGCGTGGCGGGGCTGGTGGCCGCGCTCTGGCACCAGCTGTTCCCCGCCGGGAAGGGGGAGCCGGGGCCCTCGGCCTCGCTGGGCCGTCTGCTGGCCTGCATGAGGCCCGACCTGCTGCGCTTCGTGGCCAACGCGGGGTTCCTGGTGCTGTCCTCGCTCGGTGAGTCGGGGGGACGGTGGCTGTGGGTGCGAGGGGGAAAGGCGCGACGGGGCCCTGATCCTGACTGAGTCCTGTATGCATTACTGGGCCCTCCGACAGGGCGTGTGTGTGTGTGTGGGGGGGGGTCACAGGGTCCTGGGCCCAGTGTGAGTAGTGTCTGCACACTCACAGAACGAAGGCTGTACAAATATAGGAAATAACCCTGAATGGGTGAGAGGTGTCCTCTCTGGACTCTAACCACTAGACCCCACTCCCCTCCCAGAGCTGGGGAGAGAACCCAGGAGTCCTGACTCCCAGCCCCCCCGCTCTAACCCACCAGCCCCCACTCCCCTCCCAGAGCTGGGGAGAGAACCCAGGAGTCCTGACTCCCAGCCCCCCCGCTCTAACCCACCAGACCCCACTCCCCTCCTGGAGAACCCAGGAGTCCTGACCCCATGTGCTGTTGGGTTGCAGGGGAGATGGCGATCCCCTATTACACGGGGCGCATGACCGACTGGATCGTGAGCGAGGACGACCCCTCAGCCTTCGTCCGGGCCATCTGGGCCATGTCCCTCATCACCGTGGGCAGGTAGGGCTGGGGGAGCTGGGGTCACGGGGATGGGGTCAATGTGTATGGAGCGTGGGGAGAAGAGGGGGGTCATGAGGGGTAGAGGGGAGCTGGGGTCATGGGGTGGGGGATCTGTATGACAAGATCCCTGCAGGAATTCAGGGGCAGGTCTGGGGGATCGTGGCTGGGGTTGGGGGGCAGGGAATTGGGGGGTAGGTCTGGGTCGATTGTGGCTGGGTTTGGGGGGCTGGGTTTTGGGG